CGACAGCTTGCCGTAAGCCCTCACTCTGCCTGAGCTACGCACGTATAATGATCGGATAATATTTACATATTTCTCAGGTACACTTTTCCTGAGTAGACAGTCCCAAAGTGCATGTCTATCCACCGAATCGAATGCACCTTTGATATCGAGGAACACGACAACGGTGGGCCGCCAATATATGTGACGGTGCTCCAACAACTGACGCAAGGTGAAGATGTGGTCAATGCAGCCACGACCTCGACGAAATCCAGCTTGCTCTTCGCGAATGTGGCTTTCACGAGTGCCAGTAAGTCTGTGAAGGATGACAGAGGCAAGCAATTTGGAGGCGATGGAGATCAGACTGATTCCTCTATGGCTGCCGCATTCCGATTGTGAGCCTCCTTTGAAAATTGGGACTATGATGGAGCGGCTCCAATCGGTTGGGACAGTTTCCTGCTCCCACACTTTGACTAGTAACTCGTGTAAATCATCCACAAGAGCAGGTCCCCCGAATTTGAAAACGGCTGGAGGAAGGTCATCAGGTCCCGCGGCTTTACTTAACTTCAACAGTTTGATCTCATGTTCGACTTCTGAGCGAGAGCGTGGATCCAAAGGAACAGCCCACGGAACAGGCGATCACTGGTCGGCGAGAAATCTAACAATTACGACCGATTAAATTGCCTTTCAAAGTGCTCAGCCCAACATTCCAGGCGTTTTGATAAGTTGTGGATAGGCTGTCCACTCTCGTCACGTATAGTTTCACTAACACCAAGTCTCCTGCTGCCCGTTTCCCGTGTAAGACGGAATAACTCACGATGGTTACCAAGGGCAGCGGCCATTTCCATCTCTGTTGCACGACGAGACCACCAGGATTCGCGGTCTCTCTTCAGGCTAGCACGGAGTTTCGCCCGGAGCTCTTTGCGAGTTTCATTGTGTTCGCTTCCAGCCGGAATATGCCGGCGAGCATCTATAAGTTCCAGAGACTGTGAAAAGACCCAATGTTCATGTTGGCGATTAGACATATCACATGAGGATGTGCCTGCTGCTAGCAAGGCCTGTTGCATATGAGACCAGTGAGCTTCAATTGCATCCAGTGAGCGTTTATCCAACTCGGATGACAGCATACTTTGATAGGCGTTCAGAACAGCTGGCTTCGCCAGTCTGCCGGTGTCAATGCGCTCACAACATCGTCGCGGGCGTCCGCCAAAGCGCATCCGCAGGTCAGCACATACAAGTGCATGATCGGTGTCAACACCCGTGCTCCAAATCGAGCGACAGTTCTGGACGCAGCCTTTCCAACGGTAACTGATAGCAATGTGATCGATTTGCGTCCATAGCTGGTTCGAGGCTGGTGGGCGCCAAGTCACCCTCCGGCGGGTGCTGTGTCGGAAATTAGTGCTCGCAAGAAATAAGCGAGCATCCTCACACAAATGAAGTAACCGCTCACCGTTATCATTACGGGAGCCTATACCATGTTGGCCGCCCAGATGCAGCTCATCTGTGGATAATTTTCCAACTTGAGCGTTCAGATCCCCAGCCAGTGTCCGAGCTTCTTCTGTGGCGAAGGAGTTCGTTCAGTTGGCGATAGAAGTTGTCTTTTACCGAGTCATCGCTACAGTTTGTCGGCGCATAGGCAGCGATAACGAATAGACACCTGTTAGTCCCACGCGACTTCGAAGTTTTGAACGAGCCAGCCAATCGGACCGCACACATCCGGCTACTGATCGGAATTCAATCAACCAGAGCAGCTTCAGCCCGGGGACTCAGGGCAATACCAACACCGGCTTGGCCGGTGCTCGAAGCTGCATCATCACCGGATAGGCGCAATGAGAAAGTGCTGCTAGTGTCACCTGAAGGGGATCGCAGAGTGAGTACAGAGCTCGAGTCTTTCAGGCGGGTCTCCGATAAGCAGCAGATATCGATCGAGAGGGTCTCTAATGTTCGGGCAAGTGCTGACTGTTGACCGAGCTGAAGCAAAGTGCGAACATTGAGGCATGCCAGCCTGAAGGAGGATCGAGGGCTCCAAATGGAAGCCGATGAACTGGAATGGGCCGCTTGCTTTGACATGGGCCTGTTGACAGTGCAGGAATGACGCTCTGCGTTCACATGTGAGTTGAAACTAAAAGACAAGCGACTATTGAAGCAAGGTGGGGGAGGGCCGAGAATTGGGGGTTGAAAACAGGGGGGATAAGAGTGAAGCTGGAACAGGACGATAAGGGTGAAAAAGCGCAAGGGGAATAAGATGGGAAGGCCTGAGCAGTAGGATCCAAACCCCTATCCACCCTGCTCGATGCAGCAGATAGGGCACCGTAGATTATCCTCTGCGGTGGCCAGAGCATCAGAAATTTGTTTGGGGAAAGATTCATTGTATTGCGTGGGCAGGATACTGTCAGGTTGCCCAGGCAAAGACAGGAGAACGATTAGGGTTCTCAACCAAAGCCTTTGGTTCAAAAACCTGGCCGCAAGGCAGCGGGTTTGGCACTGGACTACAAGGAGTCCGTTTTAAGGAATAAGGAGCCACCCTCATTCCAACTCCCAACCTGGAGGACCAGGAGGCTGAGTTTGTCTGGTCTCTAACCATTGACCAATCTGGTATGAGTGGCTCTGAAGGTGCAAAAGCATCACCCAGCGTAGCTCAATGGATCACCGAGGCACACAAACCATTGCACCACGGTAAGGTCCAGCCTTATTGCGATGGGTAAATCTGAATAAGGAAGCATAATTTACATTTTTGAAAAATTATAAGCTTACTGCAATTTTTTTCCAATTGCAAATACTAGCACACCTTGTTTATAATACATGTATTTAAAGAATCAGAAATAAATGTTGGAATAAACAAATACAAGAATGCGGTCGATTTGGCCGGCTTGGGGAGTTCTAGGTGGGGTGGTGGGACGGGCTTTCTAGTGTTATGTGTCAACAATGCGGACGGAGCCATTATCGCGTTTCTTCCAAACGTGTTTGGATAAACAAATGGTGCTTACCTTGTGGAAACATAGGCTATTCATGCAAATTATTAAAAGTGGCAGTCGTTCGGAACTCGCAAGCTATCGCCCAATGGTTATCCTCTTCGTACTCCCAAAGATGATAGAAGCAATCATCGCTGAGGCTTTTGTCGATCATCTGGAAAGCTGCAACATCATAGTAACGGAGAAGTACGGCTTCCGTCAGCAATGATCGTGGTCAACCAGTCCATTGATTGCACGATGTAGTTGGACGGAAGCGGCCGACAAAGGGATGTCATTTGCCTAGACATTTCCAAAGCCTAGACCACCTCATTCTGCTTCACAAGCTGGAAACTTACGGAGTCTGGAACCTTGTCCTTGGGTGGATCAGGGATTTCCTGCAGAACCACCAACTGCAAGTGAGTTCGAAGTGTGCTGTCTGATTCCATTAATGAGGAATGTAGAGTTCTGGGACCGAGTCTGTATCTCGTGTTCAACAACAGGTTTACGCGCCTAATCGCCTCGGATCTTTTGCTTTATGGTGACAATGTCAAAATGTGGCGGGCGATTGCTAACAAATGAGATCGTGATGCACTTCAAGGAGACCTGGACAGTGTGCATGAATGACCATTCCACAATCCGCTCCAATTTAATTTGTCCAAATGTGAGGTGGTGACACATTAGTCACCAGCCCAACATCGAATACAAGCTTGGAGACCGTGTCCTGCAAGCAGTCACTCAGGAGGGCGACCTTGCGGGTCTTAATTCGGGATGATTTGGCTTGCTCAGAACAATCTGATAAAGCGTAAAAGACTGGGTACTAACAGGTGCGTATCCGGCAGAGACATTCGGGCGGTTTGATCAATGTATCTGCCCGCAGATGCTTAACATGCCGTCTTAGGTGGAATAAGCAATCCAGTCTTGGCACAAGAGAGAACTCACAGCGCCCAAGACTCCATAGCGAAGTGTCACCAAACATATTAAAGGGTTGTTACACCTTCCATATCAACCTAGGCTGATGACGTTACGATTGTACAGCGGTCGTTATCGGCGCCCACGTGGCGACATAATAACGATTTACTAGATTATTAGGAACGAAAACATGTCTGCCACTATCTACTGCAACTTGGTCACAACACAAACCTGATAGGCTTCCAGTTCCATTTGGTCACGCAATACATTCGGCTAAAATGTCGCCGGAAGTTTTACTCTCTTCGTATGGGTTACCCATGAAACACTGACAATACCTACAATGTTTTCGCCTCCATATTAGCTGTGTTTAAAAAGCGCCTTGACTCACCTAAATTATGATATATAGCTCGTGTACATTGGGAGACAACATGACGTGACAAACGGTGCACCAACCAACAATACCCTACACAATGGAGGTAGACACCTTTGTGCCCACCTCAATGAGAACAACGTGGTGCGTCCACCAAAACACTTCATTTTATCACCAGATTTTCTTGCTGTTTTCATTCTGGCCACCCTACCGGACTTGTTAAGCATTTGATGTTTTAGCCGTAAAACGCCATTGTTCAGTAGCGTAGGAATATTAAGTAACGTCAGTCTTAAAGTACTATGGCACTGTGCAATACAACGATCAGTATTTCTACTTGTATTCACATTAGAGTTACAGAGCATTCGGTTACAGACCCCTAAGAGTGGGGTACATCAATTTTATTGGGAGTAGCGGGAGCGGCTTCATAGAAGTGGGCATACAAATAACATCCTGCGGTAATTCGGGATGATCGGATTTAAACAGATAAGGCGCCATTACCGAAGGGCTCACAGAGGGCGAAGTGTAAGAGGAGAAGGACGGGAGTATGCAGTTTGGTATGGCCGATCAAATTGTGCTCCAGCAAAATCATTTAAAAACCTACCAGACGCATAGCTTGGGTGCATCAACCGAACACTGAGGAATCGCGACTTGCGACTGTGCGAGGTAGCATTATTTCCCCTGACCGTCTTTGGATGAGGAAAAATCGCCTAGCCAACATAAAGCCTCCGGTTAAGGTTAATGCGATTAGAGCACGGGTCATGTCTATCAGTATTAAGTTATTTTTCTAATATGTCAAAATGCACCGTCTGAGTGAGTAATGTACAGAAGTAATCGAATATATGTGTGTGCAATGATTGTGGATTTTCGACGTTTTTGCGTACCAAGATTATGAGCTAGTGGAGTTAAAAAATGGACAAATACATTGGTCGTGTGTAACCATTGGAGTAATATTAGGATAAGGAACAGACACACAAGGTGTATCAGCGCAAGTCCCCACTATGTGGAAGGACTCGAGGAAGAGCTTCAACTTATCGTAGTGAAGAACGGAGAATCAGAAAATACCGCTGACAAGAAGGGAGCAAACCACATAGCCATCGGGTGACCCTGAGTTATAGCGGCTACGAAGTGGCAAAAATATAAAAAAATAAGAGAAGCGATTTGCTCAATGAATCATAATCTAGGATGGTCCATAAATTAATAAAATTAATCCTATACAGACGATAAGAGACAACTATCCAGATGCTCGTTAACGGTTGACGAGGGAACATCTACGGCACACACAGGACAGGTGACGGTTTGAATGGGCATATTAAGTGCATCCGAACAGTGAGATGTTGCAGCAATCTTCGTCCCAAGCCCTATCGGCTCATTGGGCTTTTGTGAGGATGAGGTGGAACACAAGGACAGAAGTCGGCTCTGGTGGCGTGGCAGAGAACCGCCGAGGATGTGGGAATTAGGGGGATTAAAAACATCGGTTCCAAAGGTTGATTGGTTCCCCAAAGAAGGATGAGAGAAGTCAGCTGGCAACGTGGATGTCGATGGCACCACCTCATTGGGCAGAAAAAATTTGGTGATACTGGAAGATGTAGTTCTGGCTAAAGCGGGTTGGAAACAATAAGTAGGAACAGTGAGAAAGTGACTATTACAAGAAAATAAGTTACTAGGTCCGGATATCAATAAAGTATACAACTGTAGGAGGGGAATGCACCTAGTTGCATATAGGTAAATCAGACCACGTGATTATCAGAAACAAAACAATGAAACAACACAAAATGATGTCTTTTGCAAACAAACACTAGATGCGCGATCAGTCGGCTGCATCGAGCGGATTGGAGCGGAGATGGGTGAGGGTGCTACCGATCAGACCTTTTCGTCTTTCTATTCACTCCCTGACACTTCATTAATAGTCGCGGCAAGTTTCAACAAACTTATCAACATCCTAATTCTCGACCCGCCTTCAATTTACTTAGACAAATTTTCTCCTGATTTCAGCTCAAATGCTCACATGGATCGGAATTCACTATGGAATCTGCCAACATTTACATTATTTTGACACAAAACAATACCCCTGCGCCAGCGGGTCAAAGATTTAAGGGAAGTTTGTTACTAATTGCATTAACTGAATTACCGCATATTTTATCTATCCTGAACCTGAGTACCAATGAACTGACGCCATCCTGGAGTGCATGCAATACCCACTTCGCCAGTGGAGATCATTCTAAAGCATAACGAAAAATTTAACCTTTCTTGCACAAAACGATCTTGCCAAGTAAGTTTGAGGGATTTCGGTAAATGAACCTCCATCGTTCCAGCATCGTATCCAGTATCCAGTATCGTATCACCAAGCTCCTTCCCACCATCTCTCAGAGCATACCAACAACCAGACAGAAACAGTTGAAATTTGGATGTCCTGACGACTGCGACTAGTATGAATTAGACTTAATAGCAAACAGGTGGCATACACTAGAACATGCAGTTCCCAAATAAACTACTCTTCATATATGAAATCTTTTCAAATATGCTAATTCTTACTATTGCTTGGTTGCAGATATTTATTTGGGGTTCACCTTATCATCCCGTAACATGCTTGTTGACTACGTTTGACAAACATCGGACCATCTACCTTGCCAGTGTTAACCACCGCTTGTGTCCTTTTAACTGTGAATAACTAAGCAGCACTCGACTTTGGCTTAGCAACTTATGATCGATGTAATATACACCATTGCACCTTCATGATCATGTCATCAATGGAGTGCCGCACATAGTTGAGAATAGAAGTTTATTCATTTATTCATAGTGTCGCCCCGGCCCCGTTAACATGTCTACTTTCAACCAAACAGAACACTTAACTGTAATCACTTTCATTTAGAATATTGGATTCTCGCAGACTGGCATGTGCACACTTTGTTGCAAACCGGTCAACAGACAGCACGTGCCCGAACCCTAGAGACCATATCGATCGATATCCGCTCCTTATCGGAAAGGCATATGGAAGACTCGAGTTATGTTCATAATCTAAGATCCCTTCCATGTGACACGGGTGGCCCTTTGTCAGTGAGGCTATCAAGAGATAACGCAGCTTGAATTTCCGGTCAAACAGGGCTGAATCTGTTCTGATCGACTGGGTCCCAAGCAGCGGCCGACATGCGCCATCAGATTGGCTGGATTATTCGAAGCTTCGAAGTCGCGCGACGACAATAAGTGCCTATTTGTCAATACTGCTTGTGCCGGCACGAACTGTAACACTGACTCCGTTAAAAATGACTTCTACCGTCAAATGGATGGTTTGTGTGCCTCAGAGATACATTGAGCTATGCTGGGTGGTGCTGTTTTGCATCTTCAGAGCCACTCATAACAGACTGGCCATGGTTAGAGGCCAGACAAACTCAGTCTCCTGGTCCTCCAGGTAGGGGGCTGTAATGAAGGTGGCTGCTTTTTCCTTAAAACGGATTTCTTGTAGCCCAACACCAAACACACAGCCTTGTGGTCAGGTTTTTGAACCAAAGGCTTTGGTTGAGAACCTAATCGTTCTCCTGTCTAGGTCTGAGCAACCTGACAGTATCCTGCCCACGCAATACAAGGAATTCCTAAGTTGGACTTGATGAGTCCCAAGCAGGACGAAACCGCGGTCGTGGGTTGCCAGTGTTGGGATGGGCAACACTATAATGTTTCCATTTACAAGGAATTTCTCTTTAAACAATTTCTTAATGCGCTGGCCGTCGCAGAACATAATCAACAACGCCCTATCTGCAACATCGAGAAGGGCGGATAGGGGGTTTGGGTGCTACGGCTCAAGCCTTCCCGTCTTCTTATTCCCCTTCTTACGCTTTTTCACCCTTATCGTTCTGTTCCAACTTCACTTTTATTCCCCAGTTTTCAACCCCCGATTCTTGGACCTCCCCCAACTTGCTTTGCTAGGCGTTTATCTTCTAGTTTCAATTCAAATGCAAGCGCGGAGCATCACTCCTGTCCTGTCGACAAACCCATGTCCAAGCAAGTGGTCCACCCCCCCCCCCACACACACTATACATGTTAGCTAGAGGTGGGAAACACCTCAGCTACTGTGCCGCAATACCTAAAAGAAAAAAGAGAATAAAATGCAACAGGTGCAAGAAAGCTGAGCTACCGGTAAAGGATGGGCATTGTTCCCATAAGCTACCTGCCGGTTACTATGCGGCAAAAGAAAAAAAATAATTTACCATGCAAAATAATGAAATCGTGGTTGGAGGGGGTTAAGAGGGGTGGGGTGGGCAAAGAAACTCATAGCACGAAACGGCTTCCATTTAGAGACCTCGATAATCCTTCAGATTGGTCTGCCTCAATGTACGCACATTACTACAGATCGGTCAACAGGCAGCACTTTCCCGAACATTAGAGACCCTCTCCATCGATATCTGCTGTTTATCAGAGACCCACCTGCAAGACTCGAGCTCTGTGCTCACTCTGCGATCACCTCCAGGTGACGCCAGCAGTATTTTCTCATTGCACCTATCCGGTGACGATGCACCTGCGAGCACCGGCCAAGCTGTTGTTGGTATTGCATTGAGTCCCCGGGCTGGAGCTGCTCTGGTTGACTGGATCCCAATCAGTAGCCGGATGTGGCTGGCTCGTTCAAAGCTTCGAAATCGCGCGGGACTAATAGGTGTCTATTCGTCATCGCTGCCTACGTGCCCACAAACTATAGCGATGATCCTGTAAAAAACGACTTCTAACGCCAACTGACTCAGCTTCTTCGCCACAGAAGAAGCACGGACACTGGTGTGCTGGCTGGCGATCTGAAGGCACAAGTTGGAAAAGTAGCCACTGACGAACTGTATCTGGGCCGCCAACACACGGTGAGCGGTTGCTTCATCTGTGAAGTTGCCCGCTTATTTATTGCGAGTAGTAACTTCCGACACAGCACCTGTCGGGAGAATGACATGGCGCTCACCAGCATCGAAGTAGTCTTGGACGCAAATCGATCACATGGAGAGGTTGCGTTCAGAACTGTCACTCGATTTGGAGCACATGTGTGGATACCGAGCATGCACTTGTATGTGCTGACCTGCGGATGCGTTTTGGCGGACGCCCGCGAGGACGCTGTGAGCGCATAGACACTAGCCAACTGGCAGAGCCAGCTGTTCTGAATGCGTATCGAAGTATGTTGACATGTGCGGTGAGTAAGCGCTCACTGGGGACAATTGAAGGTTACTGGTCGCATGTTCACCAGACCTTACTAGCAGTAGGCAAATCCTCATGCGGTAAGTGTAGTAGCCAACATGGACATTGGGCCCCTTCGTGGTCTCTGGAACTCATCGATGCTCGTCGACACATTCCGGCTGGAAGCGAACACCATGAAACTCGCAAAGAGCTCCGGGAAAAACTCCGTGCTAGCCTGAAGAGAGATCGCGAATCCTGGTGGTCTCATCGTGCATTAGATATGGAAGTGACCGCTGTCCTTGGTAACCATTGAAAGTTATTCCGTCTGATACGGGAAACGGGATGCAGGAGACCTGGTGTTAGTGAAACAATTTATGAGAGTGGACAGTCTATCCACAACTTGTCAAAAACGTTTGGAGCGTTGGGCTGAGCAGTTTGAAAAGCAATCGGCCGGAATTGTTACATTCCTCACCGGTCAGTGATCGCACTGCTCGCTGAGCTGTTCTTTGGATCCACCCTCTCGCTCAGAAGTCGAACGTGAGATCGAACTGTTAAAGTTGTACGAAGCCGCCAGACCAGATGATCTTAATCCAGCCCTCTTCAACTTCGAAAGCCCTGCTCTTGTTGATGATTTACACGAATTACTATCGAAACTGTGGGTGCAGGAAATGGTCCCAACCGACTGGAGCCGCTCCGTTATTGTCCTGATCTTCAAAGGAGGCTAGCCTTCGGAATGCGGCAACCATAGAGGAATCAGTCTGATCCCCATCGCCACCAAATTACTTGCCTCTGTAATCCTTCACAGACTGACTGGCGCTCGTGAAAGTCAGAATCGGGAGGAGAAAGCCGGGTTTCGTTGGGGTCGTGGCTGCATCGACCACATCTTCACTTTGCTTCAACCGTTGGAGTACCATCATTCTTGTTGGCGGCCCACCGTTGTCGCGTTCATCGACATCAAAGATGTCTTCGATTCAGTGGATCTACGTGCCCTTTGGGACTGTCTGCTAAGGAAAGGTGTGCCCGAGAAATATGTAAATATTACCCACGCACTATACGCGCGTAGCACGCGGCAAGCTGTCGTCGCGCTTCAGTATCTCCACCGGTGTAAGACAAGGATGCCCGCTGTCACTTTTTCTCTTCAACTTCGCTATTGACGAAGTCATGGAGATCGCATTCACAGGACGCGACTTAGAAGGTGTGGAGCTGCTCCCAGGAGAACGACTTATTGACTTGGAGTATGCAGACGATACTGCCCTCATCTGTGACAGATCTCAGACGTAGGAAGCTGCATCCGACAGATTGGCACTGGCTGTCAACCGTTTCAGGTTTTGCTTCGCACCCTTGAAGTGCAAACCTTTCCTCCAATATTGGCAGGGATAACCTGCTGCGCTGACCCACAGTAGGGATAAGCTGGGAGTCGTTCAAAAATCCAACTACCTGAGAAGTTTTATCAGCACCCTTGCGATCGAAGATGAGATCATGAACCGTATAGTAAAAGCTCGAGGCGCTTTCGCTAACCTTCGCCACCTATGGCGCCGACGCGGCATCACTCTCGCCCTGAAAGGTAGAATGTACAATGCAGCGGTACGTTCGACCCTACTGTGCGGTTGCGAAACCTGACCCCTTAGATCAGCCGACATAAAGAGGCTAGTTACATTGGACCATCGGTGCCTTCGCAGTTAGGCTCACATCTGGGGGGAATACCGCGTGAGCAACGAGCGTGTTCGATGCCGTGTTTACGGAACAGAAAAAGAAACTGAACCGCTCAGCACCGTCATTCCACGCACCAAGCTCCGATGGCTCGGTCACGTGCTACGAATGCCAGCCCACTTGCCTCCCGCGACTTGCGTTGTTTGCTCGCAGACGGTGTGGATGGAAGGAGAGGTGGTTAAGCGATGACTTGGTCGAGAGGAATGAAAACCCTCATTTCGAAGCTGGCCTCGGTTGGAGCGTCACGGCTCCCTGGTTGGGGTACAAAAGATGACGAACATGTTTGGCTGGATACACTTGCAGACATGGCTAGGAGCCGACCTCAGTGGCGTTCGTGTTGTGAGTTTTTTTTGTCTCTCACCATCCCGCTTAACCTCCCCTACAAGCACGACCTCATTTCATAGCATATAATTTTACAGAATAATTTTCTTACTGCCTAGTAGCCGGCTGGTAGCTTTCCGGAACGATGCCCATCCGTTGCTGGTAGCTCAACTGGCATGCAACTGTTGCTTTTTTCTTTTATGTATTGCGTCACAGTAGCTGAGGTGTTTTACGCCTCCAGTTAACGTGTATAATGAATGAATGAGCGTCAACTGGAAGAGCTACTTCGCCACCGAAAAAGCATGGATACTGTAGTATTCATTAAACGCCTGAACGTGCAATTTGGGAAAATGTCAAATGATGAGCTTCATCTGGGAGGCCAGTAATGGTGACGATTAGCGGTTGCTACACATGTAAAGATGTATGTCCATTTCTCGCGAGTATTAACCCCAGAAGGGTAGTATGGCGTCCGCCAGCCTCAGACGATAGATTGACTCAAATCAATCACATCGTTCTCAGCCACTACTGGAGAGGCTGCCTACAAAACTGTCGCTCGATTTGGAGCACCGGCGTGGACTCTGACCACGCTACTCTATGTGCCAATCTGCGGATGCGTTTCGGTGGACGCCCGCGAAGACGCGGTGATCAGATAGGCAAATTCAGAAGTTTTGAATGCATAAAGTACGCTGACATTCGATCTAAGTAAGCGGTCATTAAGCACAATTGAAGATCACTTGTCGCATGTTCACCAGACTCCAGTAGCTGCAGGTATGTCTTCGTGCGGCAAGGCAAACTGCCAGTCTGGACAATGCGTCTCTGTACGCAGTCACTGGTACTCATCGGTGTTCGCCGACACATTCCAACTGTGTATGAACATGAGACTCGCAAGGAACTCAGGGTAAAATTGGATGTTATTTTGAAGAGAATAGGCAAAGCCAAGCGATCCAATTGTACAGCAGACACGGAAACGACTACAAACCCTAACAACCATAAGAAGTTATTTTGACTCACATAGGAAACGGGCAGCGTGTCTGGTAGCAAGGAAACTACATGCAAAGGAAGGTGGCAGTCCATCGACAACCTGTCTACAGGTTTGGATGATTGAGCTGAACACTATGAAAAGCTATTTAATCCTCATAAAGTGTCATCATCATTGCCGGCCATTGATCGACCTGTTCCATGGGCCCACACTTTGGATCCGCTCTCGTGCACATAAGTCGGATGTGGGATCGCACTGATGACTTGGAATAAGGGGTCGCGGGAGCTGATAGTCTTACTCCAGCTCACTTTGAATTCGGGGGAGTGGTTCTTGCGGATGATTTGCACGGTTAATCAACCAAACTATGGAAACAGGAAATTAGCCCAAATAACCGGAGCTTTTCCGTTGTGGCCCAGATATTCAATGGAGACCAACCTTGGAATGCGCTAATCATAAAGCAGTCGGTTAGATCTCTATCGCATCTAAGCTGCTTGCCTAGGTCGTTCTGCATAAACTGACTGGTGATCGTGAGAGCCGTTTATACAGAAATCGAGGCTGCATTGATCGTTTCTTCCATTTACGTCGGTTGTTGGAGCACAGTTACGTGTTCCCGGATATCAAAGGCGTTTTCGATTCGGTAGATTTATGTGCCTTTTGTGACTGACCAGGAAAAAGTGTACCTGCGAAATACGTGTATATCATGAGATAGCGCAGTTCGGATAGTGAGGGCGTATGGTAAGCTCTCATTACCCCCAGTAACTAAGCGATGTGCTACATGAATGTCTGCTGTTATTTTTCGTTTTCAACTTCGATATTGACGAAGCTATGGTAACCGCTTTATACCGAATTCGACGTGAGCAACTTTCTAACTTATAGTAAGCCGAAGATGTTACTCTAATCTGTGATCCGTTACGAACATGCTAAGCGGCATTGGACATACAAGCTGTAAATGGTTTCGGGACGTTTTTTAACTCAAAAACACAAAGCTCTCTTCCATGACTGACAAGGACTAACCCTTAAAAATGAATCTTGGGTCAGCTAGAAGCATTTCGGAAATTCAAGTACCTGGTCAGCTATTTCAGTGTTTGTGGAACAGAAGACGAGATAATAAATTATGTGGAAAACGCCGGGGGCGCGTTTGCTAATCTTCGCATTGAGCATGCCACAACAGACATATGTCGCTTCCAAAGTGCAAAGTGCAGTGAAAAAAGGAAGTTCGGCAGGCGCATGCGTTTCGCATCGCCTAGTCAGTGCCGATAACGTTAACTAGTGAGTATATACAATCGTTTGAGGATGCAACAGAACGACGAAAGGAAAAACGGTAGTTTCGATCCCACATCCAAAACAACCTAAGATTGACCAACATCCGCTTTTGAACGCAAAACACCAGTTTAATCCGGTTTGTCGTAACACCTTCGGCGAACCGAAGTAATATGGCGCAGCAAGATTCGGAACGCTGTGCTGATCTCAATCCGATGACCCGAGGATAAAAGCGTTTGCTGATCAAAGACACCAGAGGCCTGTGTGAACACGTAATCTATTTATAGTACAGGTGCCCTAAATTAGAGAATCTACGATGCTGCCGTCTGCTGTTCAACACTCAGTAACGTAGGGAGGTGTGACTTATCAGATCCAGAAACCTAAAGCGGTGCAGTCGCAGTTTAGCCCATGTCTGGTAGGAGTATCACATGGGCAATGAGCGTGTTTGGCGCTTCGTATTTGGTGCAGGAAGAGCGAGTGATCCGCTCAGTATCTTTATATCCCGCACCTGGCTCCGGTGGCTGGGATACGTGCTGCGAATGCCAGCCCACCGACTCGCACCAGGTGCGTTGTTTGTGCGCCCGTGGTCAGGATGGAAGGAAAAGGAGGGGAGGACAAGCGGTGACTTGGTCAAGAGGAATGAAGACTTTCACTTCGAACTTGATTTCGGTTGGAGCTTCCTGACTCCCGGATGGGGATCCGAAAGACAACGAACAGGTTTGGATGGAGACGCTTGTTGACATGGCGAAGAACCGACCTCAGTGAAATTTGTATTGCGTTTCTTTTGCCTTCGCCGTCAAACTGTGATCTCACAACTGACCCGAGCTAAAGAACCATGATATTATTCGTAAATAGTAGCTATGGAAAAGTAATAACACAGGGTAGATCAAGGTTGCAAAGATATCTTTCGATAATCCACCTTCGTAGTTGGTAGAGTATTGAACGTCTGTGCCAAGCCCGTTCGAAGCATCCCAATCGTTCGCAGTTCTGCTTTTACCAGCATACTGTTACATTAAGCAGTCTTGTAATTGCACTTGCCTTATGTGAATTACCGAAAAGAGATCTCTGCAACCCTGATCTACTCCGTGTCCAGAAAATCATTTTTCCGTTTTTGCTTGTATCTCTTTCCCTCTTTCTCGATGAGAGCATCGCATTGTATTGCGGTACGACAACTGTGTTTCTCACTTCTAGCTAACGTAGGTGATGATGACGATGCTTCGTACAATGGGCAGAGCAACAAAAATTGTCCAAATGACGTTTACGGTGACTCGAATACCACATGTGTAGGTAGACATTGCGTCAACAGGAAGATGATCATAGTTCCCGTCCAATGGCCCCAGCTGTACAATCTAACCACAAAAAAGGGTACGATTCGGAGATAGGCATGAAAGCTTAGTGACGTGGGGGAGGATGAACAGCGCATTTCCATTGACTAGCGTGGAGAATGAGAATAAGGTATCCGTCTGATACAAAAATCTCTGCCCAATTATGGTAAGTGTGCCCGAAATCGACGACAAGTTTAACGGGTCACAAGGATAGTTGAAAGATCTGTGTAAGGGCTTTGTTCAGTAGAACGATAAGAAGGAGCCGCAGGTGGGTGCTAATAAACGAAAGCATTGTAAGTTTCAAAAGAGGCCGTAAAAATGAACATCGCTGAAATGGACACAATGCTTATCAAGTGCAGTACTAATGTCAGACGTCACTCACGTGGTGCATCAGTGTGCCTTTCTTTCTCGCGCCCACGCACTTGACGTGACGTTTTCAGCGTTTTCTCCGGTTCTTTGATTTTTAAAAAGTGGCCTGCAGCACAGTGAAAAGGAGAACGGATGAACTATTGTGAGATTATGCGAAGCACACGTTGTGTGGATAAAGTGAGACACGGGACCGTAATGTGAATCACAACGCATCGGTCAGTGGGAATGCATGTAAAGCATATTAAGTGGTGCCCCTTCGCAACCATGTATTCCATGAGTGATTTTGTTTTTGTACGTTCACAGTGCCGATGTCATGAGTGCACCGGGTTCGAGTCGCGCAATTCGACTGGCTTGCTAACCGAGGAGTGAAAACAAGTACGAAACCAGTCGTGGAGTGCGCAACGGTGCCACCAAAAACAGCCATCGATAACAGATCCAATGACTCAAAGCACTCAACCCAAGTGAAAGGCCGTGGTTGCACCGCTTAAGGATTGAAATGAGTTCACCACGACCAGCAGCGAAAACACTAAATGGTCCAAATTTTATAACCTGTACAATGATGGGTTAGTGCTACAGACACTGATGTTAGGCGAAGAAGGTGGGCGTTGAACGATAGGGACTGGGTTCTTCACAATGACTAAAGAAAGTACTGCTACAGAGATGGCAATGGCGTCGATACCACTTCAATAAAGTGAATCGAGGGATTCCCCTGCGCCGAACAAATCATTCAGTATAGCTGTCCAGTGGAGATCAACCAACTTATTAGAATGAAGAATGTTGTTGGCTAATGAACGCAAGGAACTAATCCAGAGCATATATGGCTTTTCGAGCCACCAAGCAACATACGGTCTTCAAGTATCAGTGAGTCCGTATAGAAAGGGACTGTGATGACACCATCGTCAAACCATCTTAGGCCACCAACATACAATAAATCTATCGGGCTTCACCTTGCTCGACTACGAAAAGCTAAGTTTACAGGCAAGAAAATAGAGAAAGCAGGAATAAGAAACGGCAAAGATGCATGAACATCGCATTTGGAACACATCGAACGGCCTATGGCTCGAAAGCGGTAGACGAGCACACACCATAACGTTAGAACAAGTAATTCATGCAGCCAGGCACAATGTAGTGGTTGCGGGAGAGCAACACTCAATATCTACCTGTTTCAATGGTTACAATGCTAATCTTGAAGCAATGGATAACATAAGTAAATGTTCAAGAAGTCAATAAGGGGTGAAGAAGAAGCAAGTATGAGAGGCGTGGCTTGTCATTGTTTGAACGAGAATGATCAATGTCACTAGAGCGTCGGTCGCATCTGTGTGTAACCACTAGGGTAACGCTACAAAGCGTCCAGAAGGGAGATAAGCAATGGACAGCTCACAGTGGAAGGAAAACCAGTGCGAACTGTCGGTATGCGAGACCCACGTGATGAATTGGGGCAGCAAATCGGAATGGAGGCCATTATCTTCATCATTGTTGGTGTCCAACCAACAGCTCGCTGGTCAACAAAAACCTGGTGATTACCCGTTTTACAGGTTAGCACTAAGATCTCATCGTGTTGGTTGGCTGAGAGAATAGATTCCATCAACAATTGATCGAGAAAAAACCGTAAATTTCCTGCATACCAATATAAAGTTAGGCGCACTTATCGCCAACAGGACTCAAAGTCGACCCACACAGTGGAAAGAGTTGAGGGCAGTGACCGCGTATCGTAGCTCAAGATCGGATCATCTGCCCTCCGCAATCTATGAGCCAAACGGGCTCCACCAACACCCAGATGATGTTACCTAATGGGAGGCAGGACACCGATATTGACTTTGAGTAACACAACAACAGAAAACATCTGGAGTCCGATGGAATAAACTGAGGCTGATATTTGCAAAACACTGTCTATTCTACTTCAGAGATCTTTCGTATATGAGATTTCACAGTCAGACTGTAGGTTCCATTTTAGATCGCACATCCATTGCCCGACAGATCACAGCGTGCCCGAAGGCAGTGAGAATCGTAGCAGAACTCAATCAAATCATAAATAAAAGATGGTAGATTATAATGGGCAATCTGGTAGACATGCATAACAGTGTGTTGCAACAGCTCCTCGCTCGCAAATCAAGGGGACCAGTTGCTGCACCATCATCATCATCATGATGTACATCAGCTAGAGGTGGAAAACACCTCAGCTATTGTGCCGTAATACAGAAGAAAAGAAAAAATGTAACTGATGCACACCAGCTGAGTTAACAGCAACGGATAGGCATCGTTCCGAAAAGCTACTAGCCAGCTATTTTGCCGCAAAAAATGTTATGCAAAAGTTATGTTACGCAAGGAAATGAGATCGTGGTTGGAGGGAGAGCCTAAGCGGGAGAGGGGGGGGGTTAAAAAAAATCACGAAACGAACGTCACTGAGGTCGGCTCCTAGCCATGTCAGCAAGTGTATCCAGCCATACATATCCATCGTTCTACGGACTCCAACCAGGGAGCTGAGAGGCTCCAAGCGAAACCAACTTGTAACTAAGTGTCTCCATTCTTTTTGATCAAGTTTGCTTGGTCTCCTCTGCCCCTTCTTGCATCCACATCCGCGGCGCGTAAACAATGCACGTCACGGGAATCGGTTGGCATGCGCAACAAGTGGCCAAGCCATCGAAGCTTGGTGTGTGAACTAACGGTGCTGAGCGGTTCATTTCCACTTCTGATGCCACAAACAACACATCGCACACGATCGCTGCTCACACGGTGTTCCCACCAGACATGAGCCAAACTGGGAAGGCATTGGTGGTTGAACTTAACTAGCATCTTTATGTCGGCTGATTTAATGGGCTAGGTTTCACAAACGTGCAGAAGGATCGAACGTACTGCTGCACTGTGAACTCGACCCGTCGCGTCGGCGCAATATGTGGCTGGGGTTAGTAGTATCGTCTAGCACTTTTGCTACACGGTTCGTGACCTCGTGTTCGAATCCACAGATGTTGATACAACTTCCCAGGTAGTTGGAGTTTTGAACGATTTATAGCTGGTCCCCAGCAAGGGTCAGCGCATGAGGCGGTCCTTGCCAACCTTGGAGGGAAGCTTTGCACTTCGAGGGTGCGAAGCAAAACCGGAAACGGTTGACAGCCAGTGTTAATCTGCCCAGGGCAGCTTAGCATGTTTGTGAGCTGTCACAGATGAGGGCAATGTTGCTGCACCTTTTGGTGAAAACCAAGGAAAATTAGCGGTAGGTAAGGAGATGCGCAGAGGTAAAGCGCATAAAGGCGAAGTGGCATAACGGCATACATCGCTTCTGATCGCAGCACTGCTTGGAAACAGCCATCATTCGGCGCATAGTTGTAAGATACAAGTGTCATCGAAATTCAGTCCGAAGAACGCCATCTAACTGTGCAGCGGAGGATGCAAAACGAAATAACTGCGCATTTATACTCCCAAGTGGAACTATATCTGAGCTAGTTGCATCACGTAGCAGCGGGTTAAGTTCGTGGTAGAAGATGCACCTGGCAGTCCAACGAAGTGTGGATAGCGACCACGACGAAGTAGCGGCTATTGATGCACAGTACGATTATTTTCGTTAACGCTGGCAAATAGACTGTACTGATGCACCTGTCCACAGAAATCTGAAGAACAGTGGAGGACGATATCCCTTCCTGCTTAATTTGCGGTCACCGCAACAGTGTCGCTGGACGTGAACAACCGAGACCGATGGCGTATTTAGTTCACTAACCTCGAGTCATTAATCCTAAGTTCTGGAAAATCTCTAGGTCTACATCCAACGCATCCATTATGCGTGCAAGTGTACATCTTGGGGCAAGTACGTTGAATGAAACTAAGGAAATCGAGTAGCGTCACCTAGTCAACAGTTTATGATATTGAATATTGTAGGAAAATGAATTGAAGTGAGAAAAAAACTGCAGTAGCTGTGTAGCTGGAGTCAAATGCGTTAGGAGGACAACAGTAGACTATTAGTTAAGGATCGGAAAATGAGTAAGAGAAACAGGAGGAAGAGAGAGAAACCATGTCGGCACAAGTCTACCTTGCCAACTTATCTCAATATAAATAACTGAAATTGTGCAGTGGCAGATGGAACAATGGTTTTATACGGATGAAAAAGCTAGTGTTTAACAGGTCCCGTAGGATGGTTGTGGTAAAACTAAAAAATATAAAAAAAATTGTTAGCAAAACAGGGTTTACACCGGTGAACTCATTGAAGTATACATAGTGTAGACTGTAAATCCATAAGAAACGACGGCAAATGGGATGTTGGTGAGAATCTTGTCTCCTTCTGGTGTACATATAGAGGTGAAAAACGTAGAACGAAATCTGTGTTGTGACCGACAGTGAAATAGCTTACAGACACTCGTGTTTATCCATGGGTAATGGGTCATGTAAGATGGTGCAGCGAAATAAGTGCACAGTTAACTCGGGCTCTGAACTCTGCCAGCGTGGAAGCACATATGACAGATTTCGGTAGGGCATTCCACGTACGGCAAACACGTACGGAAAAGAAATTCCGACAGCATTCCAAGCGACAGCATTCCAGATTGATAAGATAGTCAAGCTGTAGCTGCCTGGGAAATGAAGCCATCGATGGCTAGATGCTCGCCGTCCGACTCGGCTTGGTTCGAAACTGTTATGTCGAACTAGTGAGAACGAAATAACCGGCTTTGCGGACTGAACACACGAACAATAACCACACGAAGCACCATAAACCAATAAAATGGATCTCTTCAAACTATGTATGGATGCTATGACCAACGTAGGGCAGGATGGATTGGGGTGAGGAGACTACTGCTCACGCCTCCACGTCTTCTTACTCCCCCTCTTGTGCTTCTTCATGCTTATACTCCAGTTTCAAATTCAATGGAACAGTGGTATAATATGGGTAAAGCGCCAAGGCTTGACAAGTTCCATGGGATGGTTTGTGTGAATCATGTAGGTACAAAAAAGAAGCTACACTAAAGTCTGTGGACTGGGCACATTGTCCACGTGAACAAACACGCATATCCGTTTATCAAGATTTCGTGGGGGTTAGTGAGCACAATATTTGTTCGAGTATTGTTGTCATTCAAAGAACAGAAATCCAAGTAAGTAACGTGGATGATGTAGTGCACCGTCGAG